AGTCTCCTGCCTCTGCCTCCCAAGTAGCTGGGACCACAGGCACCCGCCACAATGCCAGGCTATTTTTTGGTTGCAGTCATCATTGTTGTTTGGCGGGTCTGGGCTGGATTCGAACCCGCCACCTTAGGTGTATGTGGTGGGCGCCTCAGCCACCTGAGCCACAGGCACCGCACCAACATGGCTGTTTCAATACAACCCTAAAATGAAGTGTCAATGTACACAATGGAAGGTCAGCCAATTCTCCATGATCAAAAATGTTGCTGTCAGTCCTTGGAGGCAAAATGATGTTGCTTACCTTTTTTTGATATCAGAGGGATTATTCATTATGAATTTGTACCAATAGATGGTTCACCATGTTTATTATTTGCAAGTACAGACAAGGCTCTGTGATGACCTGAACTTTTTGCCAGTAACTCAGAGCTCCTAGATTATGACAATGCAGCAGCTCACACTGCACCATCTGTGAGGGAGCTTTTAGTTAATAAAGAAATAACATATTGAAACACCCTTGCTACTCACCTGATCTGGCTCCCAATGGCTTTCTTTACCCAAAGATAAAGGAAACATTGAAAGGAAAACATTTTGATGACATTTAAAACAATAAGGGTGATACAACAACAGTGCTGATGGCCATTCCAAGAAAAGAGTTCCAAAATAGCTTTGAAGGGTGGATTGGGCACACGTGTTGGTATGTTGCTTCCCAAGGAGAGTACTTTGACGGTGACCATACTGGTAGTCAACAGTAAGGTAGGTGGCACTTTTCTAGCCTGAGTTCACAAACTTAATTGTCACACTTTGTAGAAAATGACAGGGGTCATGAAACTGGTGGGTTTAAGGAGTATATTTCCAATCATAAGTAAAGGGAAGTTAAAAGATAGTATCTGACGTTGATATAACACCAAAAAGAAAGAGTATTATTTAACCTTGTAAAGGTGAATTATAGAAAAAAACACAAAAATAACTGGAAAGAAAGCAGGCGGAAACACATTTCAGGGAGGAATCAGGAGACAAGATGAGTGGCGACCAACACCGACCGAGCCTCAGGGAAGCAGGCGCCAGGGAACCCCTGAACACCCTGCGACGCTGCTATTATCTCTCACATTTTGTGAATTAGGAAACTTAACTGTTAAGTTGAAACTTAAAAGTGACAACTTAAGTAACTTTCCCGAGATCAAACAAGTGAAAACAGAAGCGGGAACTGGAACGGAAGCAACCAGACTGCAATTTCAACCTCTTAAAACGGGGATTTAAACATTTAAATTTAAGTGAGTTAAAACTGAATAAAACTGGGCGGCGCCTGTGGCTCAGTGAGTAGGGCGCCGGCCCCATACACCGAGGGTGGCAGGTTCAAACCTGGCCACGGCCAAACTGCAACAAAAAAAATAGCCGGGTGTTGTGGTGGGCGCCTGTAGTCCCAGCTACTCGGGAGGCTGAGGCAGGAGAATCACCTAAAGTCCAGGAGCCGGAGGTTGCTGTGAACTGTGACGCCACAGCACTCTACCGAGGGCGACAAAATAAGACTCTGTCTCTAAAAAAAGAAAGAGAAAGAAAGAAAAACACTGAATAAAACCGGGACAGGCGCGAGCGGACGCGGCAAGCCCGAGAGCCCAGACGGTGCCCGCGGTGTGGGTCTCCTCCCGCGCAAGGACGCTGGTCCCCTCGGGCAGCTCCAATACCCGGGCATCTTTAAAACTAGGAATAAACGCGGCTCCCCAGCCGCGGACGCCCGAACTCGGCGCAGGATGCTGCCTTAGTTTCCTGTTCCCCCGAGGTACATCGAGGTCCTCTGGGAGGCTCTGACCCGGCCCTCGCCCCGGGGAGTGGCTGCTCGGATGGAGGAACCGGGCGCAGCTCCCCGCGCTGGGCCCGATGCAGACAGCGACCGGACCAGCTGCCCCGAGCCCCGGAGCCAACAGGGCCCCTCGCGCCCGGACCCGCCTCTCACCGACCTTCCCAGGCTCCATCGCGCCTCACAGGCCCGGGCGGCAGCAGTCTCCTCAGCCCAGGCCAGGCTCGGCCACCCAGGGAGGAGACGACCGGCCTCTAGCCCGCACCTCTCCAGCGGCCGGGCCCCGGCCTGCGGCGCCGTTCGCGGGCGGCGCGTCCCGGACTCCTAGCAACCGGCAGGCAGAAGCAGCAGAGAGCCGAGCGGGATGGCAGCTTGACAATCCCGTTGGCTCTCCCAGTGCGCCTGCGCATTCGTGGCCTACGTAACCCACGACCGGGAGCCCCCGGGTAACAGGCATTTCCGGTGGCTTCTCCCAGAGCGCCTGCGCATTCCCTGCTGCCACCAACCGCAGGCAGGAGCTGCTGAAGGCCGAGCGAGTGCATCCCAGCACGACCTTCGGCCGTTCCCAGGAGCGCTGTACTTGCTCCTAGCAACCGCAGTTAGGCGCGGCGGAGGGTGAAGTGGTCCAGGCCCACATACCCCACGGTCACTCACTGTGACCCTGCGCTTGCCCGGCTCCCAGCAGCGGTGGGTAGGAACTGCGTGCGGCTGCCGAGGTTTGCCGGCATCCTGAAAAATCTTTACACTTGTAAGGCCGGTACACTGTGATCGAAACAGCCTCTTAGGACGGGTGCGAAAAGGGCTGTTGCATGGGAGGCTGTTCCTAACAATGAAAGAAGCTGGAGAAATGGCAATGATGACAGATGCTTTGCCCCTCCGACTGACTGACGTTTCTTAGAGCGTCCACTTGGTAGCCGACGATGCGAGGGGGACTGCAGTTGCTCCAGACCCAGGCCAGCGAGGAGGGGCCCTGGGGTGCCCAGGCTGCCGAGCAGCAGGAGCAGACCTGGGGGCCTCGCATCCAGTGGCACCCGTTTCGGGTGTCTCCCGTCGTTGGCACGTGCCGGGAGAAACGGAAAGCGGGAAGGTAGCTTCTGGGACTGAAGTCACTTGTTTGGGGACGGCTCCAAACAGGCGACACGCTAATTGCTGGCCCTCGAGGCCCCCTAGTTCCAGTAGGTTAGGTCAGCTAACGGGTAGCCAGGGCGGGTAGCCCGGAGCAGTACAGCTAACCTGCATTCACTGACTCAGGCGACTACCTCTTGTTTGCTTTGTCGTCCATTTTCACCGCTCGAGTGGGAGGGCCATTTGAGATGTTGATTTCTTGTCGCTCCCCAAATGCACTACAACCACAAGGCTTTGTGGGGTTTGTTTCCTCTTTCTCGGTATGTCCCACCATATTTGCTGAATAAAAGGATTTATGAGTTTAAAGGAACCTAAAACAGTTATTTTCTAGATAGGTCACTTGCCAGTAGCTACAGTCTATCCTGTCTCATAATAGTTATTCTGTCATCTTTATTGATTCACTAGCTAGCTTATTGAGTTTTTTTGGTGACCTGGGAACTAACAGTACTAGAGACTGAAAGCTAAATAAAACACTACCTTGACCTCTAGTGGCTCCAGTGTTAGGAGAAAGAAATGTGAAAACAATGGTTAATATGAAAGTATAAGAGCTACTCTTAAAACACAGTGGATGAAGAAGTGACACGTGTCTGCCTGGAAGATAAGAATTAGGTTGGAAAAGGCTTCATCTTTTTTTTTTTTTAGACAAAGTCTCACTTTGTCACCCTTGGTAGAATTCAGTGGCATCATAGCTCACAGCAACCTCAAACTCTTGGGCTCAAGCAACTCTCTTGCCTCCGCCTCCTGAGTAGCTGGGATTACAGGTGCAGCAACAATCTCTGGCTATAATTTTTAGAGACCGGGTCTTGCTTTTGCTCAGGCTGGTCTTGAGCTCCTGAGGTCCCACCTCAGCCTCCCAGAGTGTTAGGATTACAGGCATAAGCCATGGTGCCCAACCCCCAAAAGGCTTCATTTCAGTTGTACCCTAATTTACCAGGCAGAGAGAGGCTGGGAAAAAATATTTTGAGAAAAAGAAAAAAAAAAAAAAGGATGCAAGCACAGGAAGGGGTTAGAGTTCTATAACATTGCACTGTCTACACAATTCCTCTGTACAATAGAGAATGCAAGCCACATATGTAATTATATATTTTCTAATAGCCACATTTTAAAACGTTTTAAAAGGAGAAGTCCTGGCTACACCTCTCCCAGCTATCAGGGAGACTGAGATAGGAGGATCAGTTGAGCTCAGGATTTCCAGGCTGCAGTGAGCTGTGATCACACCACTGCTCTATAGCCTAGGTGACAGCAAAGATCCCATCTCTTGAAAAAAAAAATGTTAAAGATGAAATCAGCCTGGGCATGATGGCTTGCACCTGTAATGTTACCACTTTGAGAGGCCAAAACAGGAGAATTGATTGAGCCCAAAAGTTTGCATCCAGCCTGAGCATCTTTGCATCCGGTACCCATCTTTACAAAAGATAGAAAAATTAGCCTGGCGTTGTGGCACATGCCTGTACTTCCAGCTACTCAGGAGGCTGAGGCAGGAGGATCACATGAGCCCAGGACTTTGAAGTTGCACTGATCTTGGATGACATTACTGCACTCTAACCCAGGCAACTAAATGAGACTGTCTGGAAAAAAAAAAAAAAAAAAAACAAGATCAAATTTAACAACAGATTTAACCAAATATATACAAATTGTTAAAATGTTATTTTAACATATGTATTAAAATATTGAGTTATTTTACAATATTTTTAAGCTGTCTTCAAAATCCAGTGTGTATTTTAAACTTACATCTCAGTTCAGATGAGCCACATTTCAAGTCCTCAGAGCCACATTTGGCCAGTGGCTTATGAATAGAAAAGTGAGACATGAGTAGTGGAATTACAGAATGGGATGGGTAAACAAATGAGATACTAAGAAAACACTGCAAGATAATGGTAGCTGTAAGTGTCACAGAATGTTAGTGAAGAAAAGTAAGACGTAGGAAGGCTATTGATTTGTGTACAGTGATTTTTGTATCCTCAGACTCAGCTGAATTTATTTATAAATTTCAGGAGTCTCAGCAAAATCATTGGGGTTTTCTAGATATAAGATCATATTATATGGGTGGCACCTGTGGCTCAAAGGAGTAGGGCACTGGCCCCATATACCGGAGGTGGCAGGTTCAAACCTGGCCCCGGCCAAAAACTGCAAAAAAAAAAAAAATCATATCATAAACAAAGTGATAGGAGAATGGAAGAAAAAGTATACAATGTACTCAGTCTTACTATGAAACCAATTTATAGCTTTCATAAGAGCTATAAATTGGTAGCCCAAGAAGAAGGGGGAAAAGGAGTGGGAGGGGAGGATGAGTGGAGGGAGAGTAATTGGTGAGACCACATCTATAGTGCATCTTACAAGGGTACATGTGAAATTTACTAAGGGTGGAATATAAATGTCTTAACACAATAACTAAGAAAATGCTGTGAAGGCTATATTAACCAGTTTGATGAAAACATTTAAAATTGTATATAAAACCAGCACATTGTACCCCATGATTACATTAATGTACCCAGCTATGATTTAATAAAATAAATAAATAAATAACAAAGTGATAGTTTGATCTTTTCTGTCCCCATTTAGAAACCATTGATTTCTTTCTCTTGACTGTTTTCTCTGGCTAGTACTTCCAGCAGTATATTGAATAGAAGTGGTGACAGTGGGCAACCTTGTCTACTTCCAGATCTCAGTAGGAATGCTTTCAGATTTTCCCTGTTCAATACGATATTGACTGTAGGTTTGCTGTATACGGCTTTTACAATTTTAAGCTATGTTCCATCTATGTCTATTTTGTTATTATTCTAAAAGTGTACTGAATTTTGTCCAGTGCCTTCACTTCATCCATTGAGATGATCATATATATATACATACACACACATATATAGTACATATATATAATGTATATATACATGTATATATATACATTTTTTTGCTTCTGTTAATGTGGTGAATCACATTTATAGATTTGTGTATGTTGAACTATCCTTGCATCCCTGGGATGCAGCCACTTGCTTGTGGTGGATTGTTATTTTTTTCATGTGCCACTGAATTTGGTTTGCTAGAATTTTTGCATATGTATTTCTAAGGGCTATTCATCTGTAGCTTTATATTTTTCTTGTGTCCTTTCCTGGCTTTGGTATAAAGGTGATACTGGCTTCATAGAATGAGTTGAGAAGGACCCCTTCCTTCTAAAAGTTATGATACATAATTTCTGTAGTATAGGTATCAGATACTCTTTGTAGGTCTGGTAAAATTCATTATTCTCATTTCCAAGGTAAAGTTCAAGTTATAGTAGAGCCCTTCATCCAGGGGGGCATGCTGAACACGCTCACATCATACAGGTGAGATCCTGCCAATTGTCCTCTCCCCCCAACCAATCACCCTTTCTTAGTCTCCCTCTCTTTTCCCCTCCCCCTTGCTAGTCTATACTATTTATGTTTTATCATTTCTGTAGGCATGTAATTATTTATATATTTGTTTCATATTAGTATTTGAGTACACTGGATTTTTTCCATTCTTGAGATACTTTACTAAGAAGACTATGCTTCTACTCCACCTAGAGTACTGTTTTCTCTGGCTAGTACTTCCAGCAGTATATTGAATAGAAGTGATGACAGTGGGCAACTCTTTTTTCATGTGCCACTGAATTTGGTGGCACCTGGTCTCTGTAGTATAGGTATCAAATCCTCTTTGTAGGTCTGGTAAAATTCATTATTCTCATTTCCAAGGTAAAGTTCAAGTTGTAGTAGAGTTGTAATACTTTAGCCTTCTGGGAGGCTGAGGTGGGACCTCAGGAGTTCAAGACCAGCCTGAGCAAAAGCAAGACCCGGTCTCTAAAAATAGCCAGGTAAACATAAAAGATGTAAAGTGAGATACGTTTTATGGCCTAAGATGTGATCAGTTTTGGAGAATGTTCTGTGTGCTGATGAGAAGAAAGTATATTCCGTAGTTTGGGGATAGAATGATCTATAAGTGTCTATTAGGCATATTCACTCTAGAGTCTCATTTAAGTCCCATGGTTCTTTCCTATTTTCCACTTGGAAGATCTGCCCAGTTCTGTCACTGGATATTAAATTCCCCAGAAATTATGATATTACTGTTTATCCTTTGTTTAGATAGAGTTTGGTTTATAAATCTGGGTTCACCTGTGTTAAATATTTACGATTACATGTCTTGTTGAATTGTTCCCTTTATCA